TATTAGCAGAGTATTTCCTATGTATACACTATACATACATATAACCTATAATTGCATACTAAAAACTTATCTAACAAGTGTACAAATGCTTGTGTGGCTTTGGTAAATAAAAGCCTATACTTACATACATACATGCATGCATATGAATATATAAGTATATACATTTATATGTAATGGTGGTGTAGTATTGTACACTTAGATTGCCGTCAGTCATTGATTTACTGTTGTGGTCAACACACGTGTGCTTGCGGTGTTTCTAGGTCACGTTTAATTATTTTGGCCGCGTTTTTATCCAAACGATTTCCTTAAGTTCCTTTTGTCAGCTTACTTAAAGCAATTGTCGTCATAGCGGATCGAAATAAGACAAAGTGGTTGGTTAAGACATATTTTTTTAGAGTTTTGAATTACATCAGTGTAAAGATTGTTTTTTAAATGTGCTGAAATGTCACGGGCACTCGGAGATCGTGAATTCTTCAATAGTCTCATCAATAATATTGACGATATTTTTGGTACGTTTATATTGTAGAAATTTGTATAAAAAGGCAAGCACTTCTTCCTGTTAACCATTTGATTTATAAATGAAAACTTTGCTTTTCACAGAAATATTAAGACTAAGAGTCATTTTAAGTGGTCTAGGAAAGTTAGATATTTATATACAGTAAAAACAAAACGATATTTTTGCAAAGGCAGTGATTAATTTTTTTTTCGTAAGCGTATATGGACATTCTAGAGATATGTCTGTGCTTTTCGACATTTGAAAAAAAAAGTTTGGGCACACTCATCTAACCGATCTCACCTCATTCTTTGAACCTTGAAACATACACAAGTAAAAAAAGGAAACTCAGTTCTAATGTAAAAATGTGAATAATAAAAAAAAAGAATTAAGTAAAAATTGCTTCAATCAGCAAATGTGCAATAACACTGGTCGACGGCCAAAATTTACCAGAGACGCCGTTATGAAATTCGTATGTAAAATCACCCCCTGATTCCGAAAATCAAGGTTATTTTTAATTTTATGGTACCGTTTTTGAGATATTTGCAATTTACCGTTTTTGCAAAAAAAAA